TCCCTGAGACTTTGCGTCTCGAATCTTAAGTTAAAACGTACTCAGTGACAGTTGATGGGTTCGCAAAAACTTTTTTTCATTTACGATATACTGTTTGTAGCCTATTTTGTGACCAAGCCCATTTTTGGCGTTGGCTCAGTCCTAAGACAAGTTTGTCAAGTGGAAGGGAGTGCGCTCATGTGACCTTATGTAGTTGCAAGCGCTGTAAAACTCTTTCTGAGCTAAAAGTAGAAGAGAGTGCACTCATGTGACCTTATGTAGTTGCAAGCGCTGTAAAACTCTTTCTGAGCTAAAAGTAGAAGAGAGTGCTCATGTGACCTTATGCAGTTGCAAGCGCTGTAAAACTCTTTCTAAGCTAAAAGTAGGAGGGAGATCATCGAGTACTTAAGGGCTAATGGGAGAGCTTAGTGGAAGCAGTACTTGTAGTAGGCTGATATATACTACTAGTAGGCTGATATATACTACTAGTAGGCTACTAGTTTTAGTATTCCTCATCTGGTATATTTCATTATTATTATTTTTAATTAAAAAATAATAAATTAGACATTGTTTATGTTGGCTGGTTCATTATTTAAAGATTTTTTCGGTTTAGTTTTCAGAGTGTGTGTTCAATTTGTGCGTGCGTGTGTGTGTGTGTGGTATTGTGGGGAGATATGTGTGTACAGTTGGTGCCTGTTGTCGTTGAGTATAGCAAACTTAGATATTAGATTTGCATGAACACATCAATATATTATTGGTCCTTTGTTTGCTTTTTTTTTTTTTTTTTTTTCTTTTGTTGTTGTTCTCCTCTCCTACTTTTGTGATGAGAGAAATCTTTCACTTTGTAGATAGGTTGTCCTCTGGAGGCTCTCCCAGCTTGTTGTTTCCAGAGCAAAAGGATAAATAAGCAAAAACAAAACTAAACAATGGAAAAGAACAGCGGTCGGAAGTCGTCGTAAAGGTCTTATACTGAGTTTATCGGATTGTTTGGCCGGCTCTGTGACTCGAACCACTACCTTTATGGATCCTCCTGAAGCCGGATCCTTCTTCGATATAGATTTATTATATATTTTAATATATATTATATATAATATAGTTTCTGTTTTCTGCAAGGTTAGTTACACTGGTTTTATTTTTGTTTTTATTAATTAAAACAACTTTTTCTTTCCTTTCTTTTTCTCTTTTTAGTTTTGATTTGTTGAAGAAAAGTTTGAGATGTGCTGGAAGTATTTGACAAAACTGTTTTAAAAAAACAAAAACAAAAAAAAAACAAGATTGGTTTTTCCTTTTTGGAGCAAGTAATCAGTGTTTGTGGTCTTCACCAACTCCAGGAATACATCTCTGTGAGTGAGGAGAGTCATGTGTGTGTAAAACAAAACTATTACTGTGGTGGTTGATGTACTTTGAGTGTGTTGGTGTCAGTGTACAGATTCCTTTTCTTTCTTTCCATTTTTTTCCCCTATTCTTTCTTTCTTTCTTTTTTTTTTTTTTTTTTTTTGTAAATTGCTTTCAGAACCAAATACAAACTTCCTGCAGGACTTCTTGTTATTTACCCCCCCCCCCCCCCACCCCCCCGGTTCATTTTCCCGCTCCGCAGAGTTTTTTCCTAGACAAGGGTTTGAAAAGACGGAGAGACCCAACAATATGGGAGGGGGTTGACTAGCGAGACGAGTTGAGAGTAAGAGCTGTGTGTGGCTGCTGCGCCATGACTGTTTGCTCTGCCGCAGTTGTGGGGAAAGTTTTCATCATCTTTAGTAGCAGCGCACACCCTCCCACACACATCCCTGAAGTCTGAACAGCTTGTGGTGATGATGGGTGGGAAAACACCAGACACCTACTCCGACCAGTACAGCCTTTAGGGGGTGGTCTTTATTTTTTTAAAGTCTCAAAGTCGGATCAAATCCACTGTTATCCTTCTATTCTCACTTCTGGAAC